TATACATGATTCATATTTCCTTGGACAAATTGAACTCATTTGACAAAGTAGCAGTTCTTGAGATAGCAATTATGCATTCAGACCTTATTTGTTCCTCTGAAAGTAGTTTAATTGTGACTGTAACACATCTTTCTTTTACTGGAAATCTTGATGATGTGGTTTAACAATAAACAAAATAATTTAATGGTTTGGACTGTTCAAAAATTTTGCATATCCTCAATTAATGTAATTTCTGACAGGTGGAGTGGAGTGGTGGCTCCAAAACAATGGACGAAGCTCTTGCAAGGATAAATCAGAGAGAAGAAGCAGCATTGCGGCGTGAGCGAGCCATGGCATATGCCTTTTCTCATCAAGTATGTGAATATAAATAATATTTCTATTGTTTAGAAATTTGGCCATGCTTGCTGGTCCAGTATGAAACACTGGAATCGGCTAGACAAACCAGTCCGGCTATAGCCTAAGAACCAGTACTCAAAACCAGGACAAAACCCGGTCGGGCTGCCTACTCAATCAAGAATCGGATGCCTCCCTGGGTTTCTCAGTTGCATTTTTTTTGTCAAGGAGTGATCCAACCCTGACATATATAATGCTTTATATAATTAACTATATATTTTTGAACCCCAGTTCAATGCAGTTTGAATCCTAGACCCCTCTACTTTTCCGGTGCAATATCCAGATTGGGGTTTAAAACATTGAAATGTTTCTTATTTCTTTTGTCATATAAAACCAAGTTTAAATATACAGAACATGTCTTGCAGTGGAGAGCCAACTCCAATCCGAACTTTGGATCAGGTAGCCATGACGTAGGCAAAGCAAATTGGGACTGGAGCTGGATTGATCGATGGATTGCAGCTCAACCTTGGGAAAGCCGAGTTGTCCCATCGCAGTCAACTCCAAAGAAACCAAATGGTCGCCAGTCAAGCAAGACTAATAGAAACAAGAATTCTCCAACAATCAAAACACCAGTTTCAGTCAAATCAATTTCTCCTAATGGGAAGACTGCCAATAAAGCCCGAAAATTGTCATATGGAGCATCTGAGAAGATGATGGCTGCTAAAAAAGTGAACAAATCTGAAGAGGTGAAAACTAAGAGAGAAAAAGAAGTATCTCAGTAGATAGTCACTATCGTTCATTACATTTTCAAGGTGATTGTCAAATGCAATTCGGTCATGCAGCAAAGAAGAGGTGGGGAATACTATGCTTTGATCTTGAGTTCCTGCTTGTTTATTCCCACGGGCGATGCAACTGTGCATTTTTCATCAACAGCAAAACTAAAAAGAAAAAAAAAA